AAAATGTCAGAGGACAAAACCAGTATTTTGCTGACCTAACCAGAAAGCTGAAGGTATTTCAGTACTAAAGCATATAGTACATACAAAGGTGGATGCATTGCATGTGGTATATATGTTGCAAAAACCTGTCTGCCACCTACACATGGATTGTTACAACAAAGCTGACTTGTGGCATATGCTGCAACAATTTGGCTGAATTTCAATAAATCTATGGGCAGGCTGGTTGCACTAAAGTCAATCTCTTGATCGACTTCTGTAAAACCAGCCTGTAGCTGAAGAGTGTATTCTGATGGTGAGGAAGCCTTCCCACTTGCAGAACGCAATAACTCCTCAGGAGCGATTCCCCGATCCACCTTGAATGTGTGGATGAGGGAATCGATTCCTTTTTTTTTTTCATTCAAACCGCTGATCGAATAAAGAATGAGAGGTTGAGGGAACAAGAGAGAGATGTAAGGAGAGTGTTTGGTGTGTACAGAATCTACTGGGATATTTACATTCTTTACAGCTAACTCTGATAAATGAGCTGCTGTTGCTTCAGAAGATGTTAACCAAGCATAATCTGGGCTACATTAGCTTCAACAGAGTGTGTGGGGGGGGGGGGGGTGACATTAGGGGTCTAATAGACACCTGCTGTTTCTTTAAAAAATCATATACTCCATATATGCTATCACCTATGTGATAGGAATAAAATTAAGTAAACCATTGGTGTGCCTAAGTACAAAAACAACAATGTGCCACATATATTAGGTACATTACGCCATACATATTAGGTATCCCATGCATGCTACAGTGGGAGCAACAATTCTTGGGTCCCCATTCACCATTTTAGGGGGTTTAACTAATCTTCAGGCCTAAAATTAGCTTTTTATTGTATGTGCAAAAAATGCAAAAATATCTCTGACAGCAAAAGGATTAAAGGAAAACCATTATGTCAGGGTCCTGTCCACGGCAGGAGTTCTGGAAGATCTGGCATTTCTGCCATTACTCTACATGGCCGCAGAAGTATACATCAACCTCAGTCTTGTGCCAGACGGCCTTTATAAGGAGGCTCATCACTTCCTCTGGTTGCTGGATGATCTTTAGCTACCCGTGCCCTGTTCCTGGTTCCTGTTTCATGTGTTTCTGACTTGTGATTTCCTGTTACCGACTCGACCTGGACCTGTCTACTCTGATTTACCCCTGATCTAACCTCGGCTTGGCTTACGGATACTCTCTTTCTCTCGCTCCTCTGTGAATGACCTCGGCTTTCCCATCTGACTACGTCCGCTCTGATTCCCACCTGGTACCTGACCTTGGCTTGAACCGGCTACCCAGTAAACATCCAAATCCCAGAAGGGCTTGCATACCACGCACAGGCGCCTCCTATCTGCAGACCTATCTGCGTGCACCAGCTGTGCTTCTGAGTGAACCACCAACCAGCACTCCTACAGGCGACCTGTGCAAATTTGGGCCTGACTCCCGCTGTCCCACTCTCAGAACTTAGCCGCAAGGGAAGCCCTCTCTCCATTGGCCCTCCACCACCAGGTACGTGATACATTATGAGTGAAACGTGGAAGCTGCCACTGCTGACCTTTGGAAATGCTAGTTGCCTGGTTGTCATGCTTATTTTTATTGCTTTACTGCATTGCTGTCAAAGAAGAAGTACACAGATAAAGACTTTTTTGCTCTGACTTTCCTGATTTACATATGTGTTCTAAGTCAGAGACTCAAAAAGTAGTGAGGTCTGTGGGTCAGTATATACTAGAAATTCTATATATAGCCCTACAGAACACATGTGCTTCTCTGCTTGCTTCACTGCAAACAGGAAACAGGAAATGTTTTTTACAGAGAAAGACATAGAGTATACAGTACCATAGATGCAGCTACAAACTTATAAACACTGCCATCTTCTGGTTGAGGAATATATCTCTACTGATATACCGATGTTGCTGTACAAAATGCATGAACACTGTATTCCAACACCACTCGAAAACTACTCCTTATTTTAGTCCCATTTCGGGTCTCAGTTCTTTAAATCTGTTTCTTGTAAGCAGTTGGAAGTCTTTGCATCTCATCCCATGAATCTTGCTCTTGGTTTTGCTACACAATCAACATAGGACAGACATTTGTCTGGGATGCCTTTATTGCTTCTGGTGGTTTTCATGATTGAAGCCTCTTATGTCCTTGTTTCTTCTTTTTACAGTATTCAGATTGACTGTGTTAATTTTTATTTCTGTGTCACTTTGTTGCCTATCTTCCTGTGACACTGTGATGCGGAATTTCCCTCACTTTGAAGAGTTAGTTCATGAAATTTTGAACACACTGAAGTCTCACTTCCACTGGTTACTTTGTTTGTATATTGGTATAGAATTCTGTATGCCTTTTGAGATTCATGGTACCCCATAAGTACACCTTCCTATGCGCAAGCATCCCATTTTGTACATTTTTATTTTGGGATATACACATAGGATTTGCTTCCAAAAATGTTTAGATTCCCCGGTTGATGATGTCATAAGGGGGGTCACCCAGCGACATGATGGGGTGGCCTTTCCCTTTTGCTATTTAAGAACTGTCAGACAGCAGGAGCCTTCATCAAGTGTGGAGCTCTTTTTTTTCCAGGTCAATGTCTGGCGTTCATTGTGATTGACATTGGATCTTCTTCAGGGGACATTTATTTTTAATAAAGCACTTAGTAGTGTTTTTTCTCATTATTTACACTTTTTTGGTGAATGAGTAGGGGTACTATGTACTCCACACTCATTCGCATGGGGGGGGTGGGATCTGGGAGTCCCTTTGTTAAAGGGGGCTTTAAGATTCTGATAACCTCCCCACCGACAAACCCCCAAGACCACCACCCAGGGTTGTGGGAAAGAGACCCTTGTCCCCATCAACATGGGAAGAAAGTGGTTTGGGGGCCCCCCTACCCAAAAGCACCCTCTCATATTGAGGGCATGTAGCCTAGCATGGTTCAGGAGGGGGGCCTCTTGCGGAACCCCCCCTCTTTCCTGACCTGCTGGGCTGCATGCTCAGGTAAGGATCTTATATGGATTTTGGGGGATTCAACACATTTTTTTTTAATTTTGGTGTGGGATTCTCCTTAAAATCCATACCAGACCTGAAGGGCCAATTATGGATGGGGTCGGGGAACCTCATGCCTTTTTTTTTCTTAATTTTACATTACCAGCGATTTTTTTTTTTACATTCAGCTGTCAGTGGGAAGACAGTGGGGACAGCTGATGAGTCACTGGTTGTTAAGGACGCGGCGGACAGACTCCTGGCCCTCTCCTTAACAATGAGCTATTCATACAGAATTCGAATCATTCTGAAAATGTGGAATTTGTTAGAAAATGAAAAAGTGAAGCAAAACAAATTTTAACAAAATTTGTTACTATTGTTATTCATCTTCTGGTTCACTCAGTAATTGCTCTGAAATAGCCTATGCATTTTAAAATCAACCCATTACTTCTTCGAATTTGACAGCTATCCACTCCCACTTCCTCTGCAATTGCCTAAGCGGAAGTTGTCCTCCCCCCTTCCTCCCCGTAGTCTTCTAGGACATGTGTGAGGTTCCAGAAGACTACGGGGCCATTCACAAAGCGCAGCGCTTCTCGCGCATGCTCGCAGTGGGCACCCGGCTGTGAAGCCACAAGCTGTCACAGCCGGGTGCCCACCATGAAGATGCCGGCACCAGGGAGAGAAAATGGCAGGTGAAACCAGCCTTGGTGAGGACACCGCTGGACTGAGAGACAGGTAAGTGTCTGTATTTTAAAAGTCAGCAGCCACAGTTTTTGTAGCAGCTGACTTTTATTTTTTTTTTTCAGCTGGAACTCCGCTTTAAAAATGGGGAAATAATGTTGTGTCCCCTCTTGAAGTTGGTTTTTTAAAAAGAGGATATTTGAGAAATGTAAACACATTGACAGATTTTGTCTTGCTGGAAGGTCAAGTATTGGAAGAGTGAAAAGCAGGCATTTGGTATAGAACAGCTATAACACCATGTTATTACAGTGCTTTACAGAGCTGTACCTTGGGCTTGAAAACCATTAAAACAATGACTATAACTAAAGAACAAAAGGTTGCAAGCCAGGGTCACCTAGAAAATTAGAGAGGAACAGCTGTCTGCCACAAAGCCTAGGAAACAAACCAGCTTATGTCTACTCAGGTAATGGTCGAATGGACTGATTAAATAAAAATACAAGGCTGTAAGGCTAGTAATGATTCCATTACTGTAACTTAGTCTTTGATAAAAACTTACAGAAGAATCACAATAGGCAATTTTTATACACATATCTGTACTTTAAAGTATATGTAAACACCAACCTTGTAAAACAACCCATTTGTTTAAAATAGAAATTAAAGGTAAAACATTTGTGTATAGATATGAAAACATTATAAATACCTTTTTTTTTAAAAGTGATCATATACCCTCTGTTCTCAGTTGCATATGGAGCTAGGGGAGGAGAAACAGCATAACACTGATCTTTCCAGTGAATGGCTGCGCAGGGGGTGTCATCAGAAGTCTTATCATTGGATGAGAGTATGCAGAGTTTCCAGCACCACATACAACTGACCACACTGTACTCTCCTGCCTAATGTGGTCAGTTTTTAATAGGAAATCAGAGAGGGCTGGCAGGAACACCAGGGATTTTACACAAAGGAAGCAATACAAAGAGAACAGGATACTCTTTCATACAAGTACATGGTGCAGCAGGCATATATTAGGAATATGAAATGTTGTGTTTACACTTTAATACACTCCTGCTGCTCTCAAATGCTTTTGTGGTTTTATCCTATTCACAATGGCAGTGGCAGATGTGATTGGAATTTAAGATTATTTTGGTAAAGAGGTGCTTAAGATTTCCTGTAGACTGAAAGTTAATACGCTTCTAACTGTATTATAAGGCTTAGTAGGATTTACTCCGGGTTCAATTCTGGCATGTTAAAATGTATAAAGTGTCTCTTTTTCATTGGAGCAGTCAGAAACGAATAAAGCACTTACAATTAATGGGGAACCTTAGCCTTACCTTTATAGAAGTGCCACTGTCAAAGCGAAAGGATTTGGTTTGTCCATTTTCCAAGTACACCTTTAGAACATTTGGCATGAATAGAAGGGAATTATCTTTGACTGTTTCCTGTGAAAGATAAGAAAGAACAAAAAAAAACTCAGGTTAGCTTTTTAACTGAGTAGGTCAAGCAGATGTTAAAGGATAGAGCTGAATAAAATACATTAGTTAACATAGCTGCAGATATAATATCACAGAATATAAGGTCACATACCCTATATTTGCACATATTGGGGGTTATCTACTAAAACTGGAGAGTCAAAATCTGGTGCAACTTTGCACAGAAACCAATCAGCTTCCAGGTTTTATTGCTAAAGCTTAATTGAACAAGTTGAAGTTAGAAGCTGATCCGTTACAGTGCACAGCTGCACCAGATTCGGAATGCACCAGTTTTTTTAAGTCTACACCAATGTATGATATACCGGTATATCTTCTGTGAATGCTTCTATAACTTACAGAGTCCATGTTAATTACTTTTCTGCTTTAAAATAAACTCCTGGGAATCTGCTGGCCTCTTGTGTTGGATAGCTTTGAGTGAATATTGCCTTTGTTTGAAAGTTTGAACTTTTGTCTGATTTTGTTTTTATTTTGCCATATTTGTTCTCTCACTCCTTTTGCCATTGACAGCTTTTCATATCTTGACAAGGTATCTCTGGGAAGTGAGGAGGAATCTTCCATAGTGACACAGGCCTTTGTGTAGTCTTTGTCTGACACAGGCCCTTGGGTCTTTGTTTTAACATTTCTCCCTTGCTTCCTGTCCCAATGACAGGTACAAATAAATGTTAGGGTCCTTTTACATGGGCATTCCATTTTTTTCATCAGTTCAGTCACGTTTTTTCAAAGAAAAAAACGGATTAGTTAACATCAGTTTTTCAGCAGTTTACATCAGTTTTTGACATCCTTTACCAATGCAAAAATGGACCATATGCCTGTTTACATTCGTTTACGTCCATTTTTCGTCTTTTACATCTTTTTTTTGTGTCCGTTCCAATTTTTTTTTACAGAAGAAAACATTTTTCTTCCGTTCAAAAAAATGGATGTTAAACAGATGCGGACATTAACACACTTGCCCTCCAGAGGATTTACCTTCCTTCACCAGGCCATTTTTTGGGATATGGCTCTGCGTTATTTAACTGACAATTGCGTGGTCATGCAACACTGCACCTAAATTAAATTTATGTACTTTTTTCACACAAATGGAGCTTTTTTTTGGTGGTATTTGATCGCCTGTGCATTTTTTATTTTTTGCGCTATAAACAGAAAAAGACTGCCAATTTTGAGAAAAACACAATATTTTTGACTTTTTGCTATTAAACCTGTCCAGTAAAAAAAATAAAAAAAACTAATTTCGTCAGAAATTTAGGCCAAAATATATTCTGCTACATGTCTTTGCTAAAAAAAAAAATCACAATAAGTGCAAATCAATTGGTTTACATGAAAGTTATAGCATTTACAAATGGCTATATATATATATATATATATATACTGGAATTTTTTTTTCGTATACTAGTAATGGCAGCGATCAGCAACTTATAGCGGGACTGCGGCAGGCATTCTGACACTGGGGGGGACTGACTAACATCCCCAGTGACACTTTTACAGTGATCAGTACTAATAAAAAGCACTGACACTGTACTAATGGCACTGGGGAGGAAGGGGTTAACATCTGGGGTAAGCAAAGGGTTAACTGTGTGCTGTGTGTGTCTTTCTCCAGTGTCAGCACATTGCTTTGTATTGCTCTGCTATGCAGAGCAATACAAAGCAATGTGCAGGAGCTGACAGGGGAGAGATCTGTATTGTATACATACAGGTCCCTCCCCTTCAGTGATACTCAGTGATCGCTGGGTGCCGGCGGGGGAACACCAGACGGGACCTGGTGATCGACAGCTGAGGCCGCCAATGAAAATGCAAAATCATGTATATATACGTGATTTTGCACAGCCCTGCCACCCTGTAGCAGTATTTCTGCTATTGGGTGGCGGGAAAGCGGTTAACGCATGTAAACAGGTGATCATCTGCTTGTCCATAGAAATACATGGGTGTCTGTTTTTCAACCATAAACGGACAGATGAAAAACAGACATATTGAACACCCGTGTGAAAGGACAGTTATGGAAGTCCCCACAGAAGAAACATAGACCACAGTCAAGTTATTTGCCAATAAAAAAAGTCTTTTTTATCAGTTTTGTACTTTTTTATTCATAAAAAATGAAATGAAAATGTAAATATTCATTGTAAAAAGTGAGGAGAAAATTAAAATATAATATAAAAAAATAATAATAGCTAAGGAGAGAGGAGAAATAATAAGTTCATTTAACTGATTAGTATTAACTAAGGGTTAATACGGGGTTTAATAGCAAGGCATTTTATTTTAAAATGTCTTTTTTACTTGTAAGGTTTCTTTAACTGATGCAATTTGCAGATCAATGGTCACATTTTTGTTCTACAAAATAATGTATTAGTAAATACAATATAAACATTATTATAAGTTATTAGGCTCCATGACACTGGACTTTTTAAATAAAGCTGGTAGCGCTAGCTATGTAAAGCCACGTTAAAAATGTGAGTTTTTCAGTGTTTTTTTAGCGTTTTTGCATTAGCGTTTAGTGGCGTTTGTAGTTTTTAGCGCGCTTTACCATATTTTGCTGCATGTTACCATGTTGTTCAGCGTTAGACTGTTTTTACAGCTAAAAAAAAACATCCTCTAGAAACCCACTAGTCCTGTTTTTTTTCCAGCCAAAAAATCCCTGCTAAAAAACGCTGATTACAGTCTATGTGTGTATGGACGCAGAGGATAACATGCTCGGGAGTTTACTGGCTGTACAAAAAAAAACGCCAAAAGCCAAAAACTGCAGCTGTAAAAACGTCCAGTGTGCATGAGGACTTATAAATAAATTGTTACCAGGGGTGGACTGACCATTTGGAAACTTGGGCACAGCCCGAGGTCCTGGGTCAGTAGGGGGCCCCATGAGATGCCCCTGGTAGGTACCTTTTTCATAGGCTTTTTTGAGTTTGGGCAAGGACATAGGGGCCCCATGATCCCCTATTGCCCAGGGGCCCCATGAGTTGTCAGTCCACCCCGATTGTTACACTGTATTACTGAATCATGTTTGCAGACAGGAGTGGCTGCTTTGTGAAAGTGGCTCCTACTTTGTAATACATAGCAATTCCCAGCTGTCAGTTTGGCTGCTGGTAATAGTGGTGGTAAGGGTGGTGGTGGTAGTTGTTGTGCTGGTGGTGTGGGCACACGGAGAGAGGAACAGGACTTAGAAGATACACCTGTTAGCAAGTTTTTTTTGTTAAAGTGAAGAGTCACTTTAAGTTTGCCAGAGACCTTTGAGGTGCATACTCAAAAGGAAATCTGGGTAATCTCATGTATGCAAGGTATTTGCTTACAGGAGCATTATTAAAATCTGCATTTGCAAAGTATTCCTTTTTCTTTTTCCAAAGGGATTTGTGCAAGCATTTCCTTCCTTAATTGTGAACTGTATTGAAGATACTATATTTAAATCTTTGCAATTTTCACAGATGGTAATATACGACAACACAACTCTTAGGGACAATTTTGTAAAATTTTGCAATGTATTTCAATGTTTGTCTCCCAAGAGAGATGAGTGTGTACCAAGCACACGAAAGGTCTTTGCTGTTTAAACAGTTTCCCAAAGGAGGACCAGAATCTGAACTTTCAGCATAAAACTGAATATTTGTGAGTAGAAAAATATTTGGCAAGAGATTTAATCAGAAGAAAGGAATATTAGCATTGGGAATTTCATTTCAAATCCTGCCATTGTAAAACGACAATTAGGTAACGGGTTAAAAATACTGCCTGCTTACGTGAAAATGTACTGTGTGCTGTGGGGAGTCTGTGGGTGGCTTTCTCTTGTTTTAAACTCAGTGGTATGAAGGCTATTAACATGTTGCTTGGCTCCTTATCACAACACTGTGAATTGTATTAAAGTTGGTGATTCACTAATTAATAGCAGATTTTGTTGCGGTAGTGAGTCAGATAAGCCTAAGCAAAGCTTCCAACAGCCCTAGTTCTCTTTTGCGATTATTTTTTCTTATTGAAGCTTGAAACAAGCTTTCTATTCCTGTCAACAAATCATCACATGATTTCTTGCGCTCAAAGTCAGGTTCTAAAAAATATTTGTACACGCTGATCCAAAGGAACACAATTATCTTGCGTATTTAATGGCAAAGTGATCTTCACATACCACAATTTTCTGCATATGCTTTGCATCATAATTTGAGTTTTCTTATCATCCAATGTTTTTTCATCTATTAAAAATCTGCATGACCCTTTAAGAGCACTATTAGAAATGAATATCTCATATGGAAAGAGTAATAGAAGGAAAATGAGGCCAAAGGTGCAATGGAGAGAATACAGAACAACAGCAGGACCAGCAACAGAGCAGATGATATACACTGTGTGCAATGGAGGTTTTAGCTATCATTTTTCTAGTAAAGACATAAAGAAATACCCAACACAGAGTGACAGACTGTGGGGGCATATAACGGGGTCCTATGTGCCATGTCCAATGATGACTAGTATAATGAACCAAAAGGAAATAAAAAATGGCCAAATTGCGGACTTTAAAGGCACTGCAACAAAAATTTCAGTAAAAATCGCTTTATTATTTGAATGTAGACCATTACATAAAAAATGCATAAAGGTTATTCCTCTAAGTATGCAAGACCCCCATGGAGGGGTGGAGCATTTTATGCAGTTTACAAAACTCATCAATAATAGTTTAAAATTGATACAAATATACAGTGTCTTGGTAAGGGTATCAAAAAGACATAGATCAGATGTCAGTAATTGTAGTTACTCTGTAGTTACTCGACATGTTCTGTGAGAGTATCGCTTCTTCAGGAGTTACTACATGAAAGAAAAGTTGGATGTAAGTATAATATATAATAACAACATAATGTAATTTTGTTAATTATTGGTTATACAAATCCATAAATACTACAGAGTAACTACAATTACTAACATCTGATCTATGTCTTTTGATACCCTTATCGGGACACCGTATATTTGTATCAACTTTAAACTGGTTGCCTACCAGC